CTCTCGTCTCCATCCTATATAATAGCCTACGTATATATATATATAATATATATATATATATATATTATTATATAAGCAAAACATTTATATATGTTACTATATATATATATAATATATATACTATCATATATATATATCGCGTAAGTTTCAAGCCTTGGCGCTACCACACTACAACCACTACTCGCTGCAACTACTAGCCGACGCGTAACCATGCGCATCATAGAGACGCGAGGACGATGTCGTACATGTGCCAGTTCATACCCCGGCCTCGCCGTGGTCGCTCGGCTTCGAACCGACGCCGGCGCGACCTGCAGGCCTCGTGCAGGCATCGCGCGCCACGCTGCTGATGACGCTGCGACGGGGGGCTTGCTAGAGGTAGGTCGCCCGACGCCGGCCGATGAACACGACGAGACCCGTCGCGAGCAGCAGCCCGCGAGATCAGGTAGCTGTTAACGAGATATCACAATGTAGAAACGTCAGGTAACACGATCAGGGCTAGCTGTAACGAGATATCAAATGTAGACGTCAGGGTAACTGTGGCGAGATATCAAAAGTAGGTTATGGTTATTTACCGGTAACTCTAATAACAGTAATATAATACATGACGGTAACTGTGGCCAAGATATCAAATGTAGATTTTCGGTAACACATCATGTAGGTGCTGGCAAGATTATCAAATGTAGACGTCAGGTAAGTGTAGCGAGATATCAAATGTAGGTTATGGTCATTTATAGGTAACTGTGGATATAGGTGTAGGATAGGGTAATTTATTTGGGAACTGTAGTGAGAGATAAAATGTAGAATATGGTAACAGATCAGGTAGCTGTGGCGAGATATCAAACGTTGACCACGGCAACACATCAGGTTTAAACAGTCATCTGTCATACGAAAACAGGCGTGCTGCATCTCCACAGCACGACTTATATGCCTCCAAACCGATTTATGCTCAACCCTTTCCTGCTTCTATCGACTTGTGATCTACATAGACAATAAAGTGCCTGCATTTGATGGAATGTGGCTCATTGTGGCGATTGTCTGTGTGTGTCCTAGTAATCGCGACTGTGATCGACATGAGTGCCGTGTTATCCCGTCCGTCATGGCCTCGGATAGCGTGCGTGTTGGTTACGTCGTTTAGCATGACGCCGAAAAACCTAAAAATCAGTAATGTCACAGAAAGCCCCTCCCGACTCTTTCCCCGGTCCATCCATAAACAACATGCCTTCTGCGATTTTGTGATGTTAGTGAAAGCCGCCGTGGAAAGAGGCGTCTACCGCGCTATGATCGATGGAGCAATGATGCGAGCAGCTCTCCGCTGGCCCAGTGCGTTCAGGCCCACAGTCCTTACTGTGCCACCGGAAGGCTGTGAGTTCTACCCCTGGGCCGGCGATGATCGGGCAGTGAATTTACTTCCCAAGGTGTAACAAGCCTGCGCTCCTCGAACATTGCGCAGACTCGTGAAATCTCCCTCGTGAGAGAGAGAGAGAGAGAGAGAGAGAGAGAGAGAGAGAGAGAGAGAGAGAGAGAGAGATGGAGAGAAAGAGTGAGGCCAGGGTACGAGCTGCACATGTACGATACCATCCTCCGTGTCTACTACGCATAGTTACTCGCCGTCCACAGCATAGTAGTAGTTGTAGTGTGTAGTACAATTTAAACTAGACAGAGTGCACTCACGGAGAGTGCATACCTCCGTCAGCGACATACGCCTTACGCCATACGACTCACGAACACACGAATAAGCCACGATATACGCTGGCTTGCTGGCTTGCTGGCTTGCTGCTCGCTCGTTGCTGCTGCTCGCTCACATGTACACGCTCGCTGGCTCACTGTGCTGGCTTACTGTGCTGGCTCGCTGGCTATCACTGGCTGGCTGGCTGAGCTGGCTGACGCGCTAATATTGATCGCGCGAACACACGGACACACGAACACACAAGAGCGAATACATAACCTCCTCCAACTCCATTGGGCGGAGGTAATTACAGTGTAAATAAATTAGTCATTTTCCGTTTTCTGTAAGTGCTAAATATTCTGTCGGTGTCTGTGTGTCTACATGTGTCTGTGCCATTTTGTGGTTTATACTCATGTGTGTATACTTGTGTGTGTGTGTGCATATATATATATATATATATATATAACACAGCTAATTCGGATCACCACTGCCCTGCTAACAGATCAGCGGCAGACGAAGAGATAGAGACGTCCGTCGCCGCGGGGACCGAGCCTTCCTGTCTCGACCTGGCCAAGGTCCAGTATGGGGGGAGCTTCGACGAGGGGGTCGTGGAAGATGTCAAGTCCCTCGGCAGCATCCTGTGCGTCTTCGTCGCCTTCATTCCGTACTGGATGCTGTACTTTCAGGTAGAACTGCCTCCACAATCACTCGTTAACGTTAATTTTTTAGATTTTAATTGTTCTTTTTTTTTAGATGACGGACAGTTGACGGTAATGTTTTTATTTGGTGCTTGTGGCTCTGACTGTTATTATGTATTGTTGGAGCTATGTGGATGGCGTGCATCACTGTACATATAGTAACTTTTTTACTCATGTAGTATGGTATTTCTTATCTGATTTAAATGGACATATTCGGTGAGTAACGTCTAATGAATTCAAGTTTATCCTGTTCTGTTCGTTCACTTAAAAGATATATACGCGATGAAATCCGTTCGTGATTTTTCATGCGACTTTGTGAATATGATGTGGTTTAATACCAGTTTTGTTTATGCGTTTGCCGCAGACAGATACCAAATGTTTCCGTGTTAGGTTTGCGTGTGAGACGAGTTTTGTTTGCATTTGCCACAGAGAGATAAGAAATGTTCGCTTGTTAAGCTTGCACGCGAGGCAGATTTGTTCACGTGTTAGCCACAGAGAGATAAGAAATGTTTGTATGCCAAGCTTGCACGCGACACGCGAGGTTTTTTGTGCTACAGAGAGATAACAAATGTTTGTGTGTCAAGGTTGTGCGCGCGACAAGTTTTGTTTTTACACAGATCGATACCATCAGGGGGTGACATAATAATGACAAATTTGTCATTATCAACCCCTGATACTATAGATGAGGTTTCCTTGTTGAGTTTGCTTGATGATTGCGATTTTTTTTTGCGTTTCGCCGCAGATGGAGACGACATATCTCATGCAGGGCCTGCACATGCGACTGGAAAGCAGGGATGCTGACGACGCTGCCGGGGGGATGCCGCATCCAGACGTGTTCCAGGTGAGAGATGACGCGCGCCCAGCGACGAACACCAGGGGGCGCTGGTCGCGGGGCCGACTCGCCCGCGCGCGCGATCGGGCGTCGCGGAATGTTGTGGATGAAAACCGGTCTGGCTGAGCTAACGATGATATGTGGAGAGAGATCTAGAGGCTTTATCATCTTGTTCAGCCTGACTGATGTGCGGATATTTCTCACGTGCTTGTTGCTGTGGATTGTAAATATCTCTCTCTCTCTCTCTCTCTCTCTCTGTCTCTCTCTCTCTCTCTCTCTCTCTCTCCCTCTCTCTCTCTCTCT